CATACGAGCAAACAGGATAATTTCACCTCTACAAACCCATATAACTAAAACCAGAGACAAGAAAAATAACAGAAAAGAAATCATCAAAAAGGGGAAACGTATAAAAAGCGAATGAGGAACGAATAAGTAGTGAATAGGTAACAGGGTTTTAGTCGAGCGCCCAAACGGGTACATACGCGCTAACAGGGTATTTTTTTCTCCTCAAACACGTAACTAACATCAGTGTAAAGAAAAGAAAAGAAAGCATTAAAAGGGTAAACATGTTAAAAGCGAATAAGTAACAAATAAGAAATACGGAATAAGTAACCAATAAGTATCGGATAAGGAATAAGTAACGAATATGGAATAAGGAATAAGTAACCATTATAACGACCCTGGACGATTTCATACAGCAATGTTTTAATAAATTGCTTCGCCGAGCGCAGCTGGATACAACCGTAGAGGTCCAACCCTAAACAGTTGGGGAAAAAATAGACACAATATTCGCGCTTGATACAGGTCTGAATTTGGATTGTAATTAAATATTTGACACATAATAGGTTTCTGACACAGAATAACTGTAGTCGAAAGAACTTAGAATTGGTTATATGATTTGAATTAATATTCATTTTTTTTTTGTGCAATACACTATGCTGTTGCGAATTGACCCCCATCCCCCTTTTTTTGGGAAAAAAAAAATTTGAAGAAATTTTCTTTTTAAGTTTTGAAACCTGAAATGAGAAAAAAAAATGTTACCCATGATTTCTTTTTTACCACCCGCCCTCCAATTTTTTTTTCACCTCCCCCTCCCCTTTTTCCCAAAAAAAATTCTTTCCCTCAAGATATGGTCATTATCTCAAATCATATTTCCAATGGAGTTTGCAACCATAATTCAAATACATTATAAAAGTCTTAAAATAGAAAATGACATACATAACCATGTCTAAAATTAATATTCCTTAATCAGCATTTTTAATAGTAACTTCTAAAAATAAATTGACAGCTAATCACCTCAAGACAATACAACATTTCTTTATACATAATTCAAAAGCAGTGTAAGGGAGGTAATCCAAACACAAAACATTGTACTTAAAAGAAATTGTCCATTAACAAGGAAACCCTTGTTTTTCCCCCCTTTTTTGCCCCTAATTCCTAAACGATTTGAGCGATTATCCCCCAAAGCCAATCCTAACCATCCCTTTGTGGTATGGAAACTTGTGGTATAATTTCAGAGAGATCCATACACCGTTCCACAAGTTATTGTCTGGAAACTAGAAAAATGCTTATTTGGGCCCCTTTTTGGCCCCTAATTCCTAAACTGTTAAGACTATAACCTCAAAATTCAATCCCAACCTTCCTTTTGTGGTTATAAACCTAATGTTTAAATTTCATAGATTTCTATTTACTTATACTAAAATTATTGTCCGGAAACCAGATGTCTTCGGACGACGCTGACGACGACGACGACGACGTGATACCAATATACGACCGCAAAATTTTTTGCAGTCGTATAAATGCACACAAAAAGACATTGCTTGAATGCAATGCCTAGAATATACTGCGAATTTTCAATGTTAATAACAAATTAGTTGTGCTTCAATCTATGAATTAGAGATTATCACAAAAGAAGCATACTAAAGGTTAACAACCGAATTTCAATTATAACCTTAACCATGTTTCGCCTAAGTTCGATAGTATCAGGATATTTTTGTGAAGGACACTTTTTAAATGATTTATCTTCATAAATAATATAATCATGATATAAAAAATTTAAACAAATACTTTAAGCTCGAAAGGACAAAAGGTCACGATGACATGTTTCCATTACTTGGCATTCATCATCGTCCATCACATAAACGTACTTTTCAAAAGATCCTCTCAAAATCTTCTGAACCAATTGAAAGCAACCCTCACATGATTGATCTTTCAGATGTTCAGATAAAGGTTGTCTTTTATATTAAAGTCCATTTAACATGCTGGCCACAACAATTTGAATATCAATTATTGGTAAGATAAAAGGCCTCGAGCATCGCTGAAGAGACATAAATATCATCAACGTATTTTTATTCCAGAAATATTGTTATTTTTTAAATAATAGAAAACAATAACAGAAGTCTTAGTGTCGCTGAAAACAAAAAAAATGACAGCCATATCACAAGAAGAAGAAAACTATGTCAGGATGTGTTTGTTGCTGTCTAGTATCACTCCACGTGCTGTTCGAGCTTTCTTCGACATTGAATTTCATCCATCCTGTCTATACGCATCTATTAAGAAAGCTTTCAACATATTGAATGATCTAAAAATCAAAAGAATAATTAACCAATCACAGTGGAACCTTTTGTTTCCTCGTAGTGGTAAGTAAAATATTGATTTCTTAAAGTGTAAGTTAAACAGTGATATAAATAAATAAACAAAGAGTTATGAAAAATTTATCAATAGATAAAGGATAGGAATCACCATAGATAAGCAACCAAAAAAAAAGACAAACATCATTCTAATGACAAATGACAGAAATTTGTGATCATTTAAAGAACACGCCTGGTAAACCATCAAATCTAAACCAAATGGTTAAGCGAGAAAAAAGTTTACTGGCACTTCCTGTTGCGCTTTTCTGGTACAAAATATCAAAAATATAGATAGGGTAGGTTGAATTTTCATCAATTTATTGTCAATCTGTAAATATTTTGTTAAATTGGAGAATTTCATGCCATAGATAACTAAACGAGAGCTTGTCTCGTTCATTACTCGGACCAATGTTATTTAAAATGACATCGGAATGACTTTTCTCCAGCAGGTAAGTGAGTTTTTGACAAAATGACAATGAGTTCATCAATACGTAACGTTTATATCAGTATATTTTTATTATAAGTGTTCTTCTTCGCCATTATAAACGTATAATAACAGGTTTTTTTTTCTATTTCTTTACGAATATAATTTTACTAAGCTGATTTATGTTATAAAGTATGTCAGGTTTAGATTGTCTGGTATCGGTTGTGATAATCTGGAACAATGTTGAGATCATCTGTCAAATAAAACTTCCAACTAGTTGATTGTCAATCGGATACGACCGTCAGATACTAAAGAGTAGTGGTTTTTAAAGCCTAGAAAACGAGATGTTAAGTAGGCGATGGTAGATGTAAAGTCGGGCGCTGTAGGTAGTAAGTTGCAATACACAGTTAGGAGTTTGGTTTCGCAATTCGACACCGGTGAATTTGTCAAATAAGAAAGTAGGTGTCCAATAAAATAAATAATAATAATAAGCTGAATAATTATATAAATTTCAAAAGGGGTTTATATGAACATCAAGATTGTTTTTTTCATTTTGCATAGTGAATTTTCTGTTTGACAGTCCTTGTATCACATCCGTACCGCCATTAGGTCCAGAAATTATTGAAGTGTGTTTTTTTTTTAACATTTTTTATACGCTCAAACTTTTCAATTCAATATCAACAGGATGCTGTTACAAAGTCTCAAAAACAAATTCCCCATAAGTATAAACCCCTAATGACTCTCCCTATTGGATAAATTAAAGAAAAAATGTTCAAGGTCAAAGTTCAAGGTCATTATTGACCATTGACCTTTTGACATATTAGTTGGCCAATATTTTGTATCAAATCAATGCAAATTGTTTCCTTGGTAACAACTAAAAGAGATTATATTTTACCATTATGCCTATTGTATAAATCAAATGTATGGAAGATGCTGTTTCGTATGCACATACATTGCACAATAGTAAGCCTTATTTGTTCGGAAGCGAGGCAGGACTTTGAATATACAGCTCTGAAAATTAAGATCTACAGCGCCGAACTTTATAATACGTACACCGCTTGACTTTAAATAATCAGCCCTAGACTTTCTCTCTAGATTATCTGAATTAGACCAACAGGACTCCATGTCAAAACCAGAAACAAGTTAAAATGACAACCACTATACAGAAAGTTCATGAAATTTGACGGTTGTATCCGATTGACAATCAGCTAGTTGGAAGTTTTATTCAACAGAAGATCTCAACATTGTTCCAGAATATTACAACCGATACCAGACAATGTCAAACCCGACGTACTTTATTACATACTCAGCTTAATGAAATTAAACTCGTCAGAAATAGAAAAAAATGTTATTATACGTTTATATTGATTCAGAAGAACACTTATATACTGATATATACGTTACGTATTGAAGAACTCATTGTCATTTTGTCAAAAATTCACTGAGCTGGCACCACTTACCTGCGGGAGAAAAGTCATTCTGATGTCATTTAAAATTGCATTGGTCCGAGTAATGAACGAGACAAGGTTTCATTTAGTTATCTATGGCATGACAATTTTCTTTTTAACAAAATATTTACAGATTGACAATAAATTGATGAAAAGTCGACCTACCCTATTACATTTTTGATATTTTGTACCAGAAAAGCTCAACAGGAAGTGCCAGTAAACTTTTTTTCTCGCTTAACCATTTGGTTGAGAATTGATTGTTTACCAGGCGTGAACAATGGGAACACACTTGCAACCATGTTATATAACATAATATAAATAAGAAGATATGGTATGAGTGCCAATGAGACAACTCTCAATTCAAGTCACAATGTATAAAAAGTTAACAATTATAGGTCAAAGTACGGCCTTCAACACGGAGCCTGGCTCACACCGAACAACAAGCTATAAAGGGCCCCAAAATGATAGTGTAAAACAATTCAAACAGGAAAACCAACGGTATACTCTATTTCAAAAACGAGAAACGAGAAACACCTATAAACCACACCAACAAACGACAACGACTGAACAACAGGCTCCTGATTTAGGACAGGTGCATACAAATGCAGCAGGTTTAAAAGTTTTAACAGAAGCAAACCTTCACCCTAACCTGAGACTGTAATGAAACATTACAACATAAAAAGACACACTATAAAATACAAATTGAGATGGCTTAACTCGATCAAAAGGACATTTAAACAAAAACAAGTAAACAAACATTGAGCGAATTTTGTTTTTTTATTAACAGGTTTGCCAGATTCAAAACGTTTTGATGTTACTTTGATGATTGCATTGCTCACAAATCTTACTAAGTTGAGTCATTATGACAACACTCCTTTAGAAAATGACACTTCACCATCGGCTGATTTAGCAAGGATAAAATATTATAGGAATTATATATCACATCACATATCACACAAGAAAGATGGGAAGATGGACAGTGTATTTTTTAACAAAGCATGGGACGATATAAGTTGGGTAAGTTCACTGTATAATGTATGTGAAAAGAGGGAAGATTTTTTAATTTTCATATTTTACCAACCATTGGATGAAACTATGAAAAGACAAGTAGTTTCCTTCGGAAAATAAATGGAATCTAGTTTTCATTGAAAACCCATGTCAAACTTTTTGTTATTTTCTTTTCCAAAAATTATAAATCATACTTTAAATACTTTAAATTTCTGGTCTGTTTAAATTACAGGCCATTTCAATGGAATTCTTATTGAACTATTCAATTAAAAAAGAAATTCTCCAAATATCTTGTAGCTTTACTTATTATATGAGTGGAAAATAAGAGAGATACTGTTTAGATGTTCTATATACTAATCCTGTCAAAAAAGAAAAAGCCATCAAAATTTCGATTTTGCAGAAGATATTGTGTCGTTATTCCAACGAAAAGAGGGCGTTACAGAGTAACACTAGTTTAGGCACATAAGTATAATTGTAAACAGTAACTACAAACAATAAGTGTACACGTGACGTGATTTATGGGGCGCATTTTAAACATATATCGTTAAATCTCCCTTCGAAAGAATTTTTTTTTTAAAGTTCTTGGTGTTGTCAAAATTGGCCTTAAACTGATCTTAACTCGCGCTTGTATCATTTAAAGTATTAACTTATACTACAGAACATATTTACACTGAAAAACCCTACTTTTATAAGTCCATTATAAATTCACAATATCAAAACCCTACACTAATTCAAACTAAAAAGAACAGGCACATATTTACAAAATCCAATCAACGCACTAAACAAACGTAGTCCTGCAGATGTTTCGGTCTACTACGAAAAGGTCCTGAAGTTCTAACGGTTGGTTTCGTTTCTTGGTGTTCAGTCACGACATCGTCTAACTGATTATTGATGGCAATCGGTTGTGTACGATTGTCAGTGCGGTAGGCTGTTTGAATTGGCAGTTCATATTCTGACTGATCAATCATCGGCTCTTTGGTTAACATCAAATGTCTACGATTTCTCCGATAAGTGCTGCCATCTTTTGTGGTCACATTGTACGATCTAATATTACATTTCTCATCAACCTTAGCTTTCGTCTATGCTTTTCCGTTTCTGAACGGCTTTATTCGGACTACATCTCCTTTCGCTAGTTCGGTCTTATCTTTAGCACAACGGTTGTAATAGAAACGCTGTTTCTCCTGTTGAAACCTCTTGATTCCTACAACATCTGTTTGAATGTCCGGCTTCAATAATCTTGACGCTGATGGTAGTAACGTTCTCCCTCTTCTTCCAAACATATTTTGAGACGGAGAACTATCCAAACCTTCAGATGGTGCATTTCTTAAGTCTAACAATGCTAAATACGGGTCTTGTGCATCCTTCTGAGATTTAATCGTCAACCTCTTTGCTGTTTTGATAGCGTTTTCAACTTTTCCATTAGATCGTGGAAATCTCGGCGAACTCGTTGTATGCGTAAATTCATACTGATTCTAGAAATGTCTAAATTCGTGACTATTGAATGGCGGTCCATTATCTAAAAATACACAGTCAGGTAGACCATATCTCGCAAAATGTTTCTTCAAGATTCCAAAGACTTCCTTTCCTTTCTTGTTATTTAATCTGTCATTTTCAAAGTAGTCGGAATAGTAATCAATGGTCATCAAATAATCTTGCTGATTAAATTCAAAGAGATCGCAAGCAACTTTCTCCCATAGTCTTGTACATAGTTCATGACTATGCAAACTTTCTTTCTGTTGTTCCATGTTGAATGTATTGCAGTTTCACATGTTTTAATGTAATTTTCAATGTCCGAGTTCATATTCGGCCAATACAAATATTCCCTCGCTCGTCGTAAATATCCTTCGATACCTATGTGACTAGAATGTGCTTTTTCCATCAGATCTGCTCTTGCAGTTTTCGGCACTACAACCCTATCACTTTTAAATATCAATCCATTCTGAATTGTAAGTTCTTCTCGAAACGGAAAATACTTGTGTGTCTTAAGATCTACGGCGTTCTTGTTAATCGGCCATCCTTTCTTTATAACTTTCGAAAGAATTTGAAGTTCTTCATCTTCTGCGGTGGAAGATTGTAGTGTTTTGCATCTTTCGGCGGTGATCGGTAAGAACTGAATCCATTCACAGTTTCAATTTCCTTCTCGGTATCCAATCGCCTATCTTGTCCACTAGATTCTTTCCTGATATACGCGCTACTCAATGTGTCTGCTATATACATGTCAACTCCTGGTTTGAATACGATAACATATTCAAACATTTGCATACTTTACAACATTCGTTGTAGTCGTTTCGGAGCGGTCAGCAAAACTTTCTTACGTATGATCTTAAGCGGTTTGTGATCAGATTCGACGGTGATTTTTTATCCATACGTATAGGTCTCGAACTTTTCCATTCCAAAAACTACAGCTAGTAACACTTGTTCAATTCGAACGTAATTTTCCTCGGTCGGTGTTAATGTATCTTGCAGCAAGCAAGCACAAAGTCCTGATTGTGACGAATCACATTGTAATATAACTGCTTTCTTTTCATCAAAGTATCGAAGTACCGGTGTATTTGACAATACTTTGTTTATCTGATCAAATGCTAGTCCGTGTACGTGAGGATCCCATTTGAAATCATTTTCTGACTTAAGTAACTGCCTGCGCGAAGAGGTTAGACATAGACATGATAGACACGATGAGATAGACATGGTGCAAACTTCTGTACATAGTTTACCATGCCCAAAAGTCTCTGAACTGCTTGGCGGTCCTCTGGTATCGGCATCTACGTCACTCGATTCATCTTCGTTAGCAAACACGAATCCATCAAAAATTCCTAACGCATCTGCGCCTATGCACGATAAGAACGTAGCGGTTTTCGTTTTGCCCTCTGGCTTCTCTAATCCGGTTGCAATTTCATAGTTAGACCACATTTGTTTAAAGCGTTTCTAATTTGTTGCAATGTTTCGTCGAAAATCCAGTTTCTGAGGAAACGGCAGATTAGTGTTTATTATGTGCTCCGTAGAATTTTTGGCCTCGGCGACAACTTCTACTTCTGCATCAGCCATTATGATAATTAATATATCGGAAAAGTTTTCAACAAATGTGAATATTCTCTCGAATATCAAATGTTAACAAGTTACAAATAACTCACAGAACATAGCGAATTGTATGTCCATTGTACACTTGTAATCCAAACAAAAGGATGCTAGAATCTCACTTCAAATGTTATTAATAAAGTTTTTGGGCCACATAATACATTAATATGATTTAGACTGTCCGTTTGCAACCACATCTGACATCATGTGTCGTTATTCCAACGATAAGAGGGCGTTAAAGAGTAACACTAGTTTAGGCACATAAGTATAATTGTAAACAGTGACTACCAACAATAAATGTACACGTCATGTGATGCTGACGTATTGGGCGCATTATAAACATATATCACTTCTATAGAACACAATTTGTAAATTGCTAGGTGTAAAATAATGTTGCTAGAAATCTCTTGTTTGTATAGTTTTGACCTTTTAACTTTTGCAATTCTATAACTGTGAATATCACATGTTATATGTCATACTGGGATGCGTATCAGTCAACCAGTCAAAAACTCAATGTTATTACAGAACTGAAAATATTGCAAAAACATCAATTTTAATAACCATATGTGCTATGATTTACTGAGTAATTAAACTAAATTTAACTGCGATCATCTTTAGAATATGCATAGGTAGAGATATATTTCTCCATAGTCAGCATCTATGTACATAAAACATTTTGCAAAAATAAAATTGACAACTGTGATAAAATGTTAATACAGGCATATGGAAACCTATTTTGATTTAGCATGTGGAATCTAAATAAACTTAAAAGAAGTATAATTGACTTTCAAATCAAACATATAATGTTGATCCTACAATTAGTTGTATATGATTTTTTTTAAGGCTGTAAGAAGATTAAGTGACCAAGACATGCAGGATGAATGTATAGAGCTGAAAACAAAATGTTTAGACCGATCTACAGTGCCTTGGAATATAAGAGGTAAGGACTAGATTGTTTAAGCAATCATCAATAATTAGAAAAGTAAATGATTAGAGGCAAAAGTAAAAGTAAAAGAAGTAAAAAAGTGTCAAGGATATAAATATTGGGTTGCAGATTTAGAACCTTCCTCTTTTCCCTAATTTATTAGTGCCATTACTGTTTTACAGTTACCAAATAAACTGAATTGTTCTGATTTTAAACCTACTTGCAGAACTTTTAATCGGAATATAGCTAGAGTATTTGGATATAACAATTGATTATCCCCACCTTTCAGTATTTAAAGCTGATACATCTACTAAGTTAGCCTGTTTCGTTCCTTTATATTGATACCATTATAGAAAATGTGTATTATAAAGTCGAAATTAGTCGGTTGAAAGACCTTGGAATTACCAGATTAGGATTACCTTTAAAAAGAATTATTGGTCTAAAACACTATTTCATGTCACTAATGTACTGTCCATTGATGATTATTTGTACATGATCCGCCCAATAAAGTTCAAGTGTTATGTCTTTCCATTATCCCAAACTCTGCTTCTTAATGAAAAATATTTATTTCTCTGAATCCTTATCTTATGTAGTAAACAGAATTGATTGGTCCTGAGATACATGGATATAAAAAAGAAGATGTGGTATGATTGCCAATGAAACAACTCTCCACAAGAGACAAGATGACATAGAAATTAACATTTATAGTTCATCTTACGGCCTTCAACTATGAGCAAAACCATACCGTTTAATCAGCTATAATAAGTCCCGAAGTGACAAATGTAAAACAATTCAAACGAGAAAACAAACGGCCTGATCTATGTACAAAATAATGAACGAAAAACAAATATGAAATACAGCAACAAACGACAACCACTGAATTACAGGCTCCTGACTTGGGACAGGCACATACAGAATGTGGCGGGGTTAAACTAGTTTGTTGGCACCAAACCCTCCCCTTACCTGGGACAATGGTGTAACAGTACAACATAAGAACAAACTATAAAAATCAGTTGAAAAGGGCTTAACTCTTCAGATTGATACAAGGCAGAAATACATCTAATAAAAACACAGACACGGACGTAGCAGGTTACTGGAGCTGTCTGGTAGGGTTTACTTAACCTTTACCTCATTTGCATGGTAGGCAAATTTTAGGTTCTGTTGTGTCCTCAAGAGTTTCAACATCAACGATAATTGTCGCTTGCTTTTCATTCATGTCAGCAGAATTAAAAGAGGCGACAAATAGTATTGGGATATTCAAACTCATAAATCGAAAACAAACGTAAAATCCCACGGCAATAGTACACAAAACACAATATAGAAAAATACAGACTGAGCATTTTAATGGTTTATGTGGTTCTGTTTTACTGTCAGAATACTTGATTTGATTTATTTTACTGCCCAATGTTTTGGTGACTTCTGTTATCCTTTTGAGGTCTTATTTTAAATTAACATTGGATTTTTATATTGCATTGTAATTGGGTGTAATTCTTTTGCTGGCTTTCACTCGATGACATCGTACATAAGTATTACTCCTAGTTTGTTTTTATCAGGTTGTAAGGAGCAATTTTAATATGACGTTCTTCAAACGTTTTGAATACACACCCGTGGTAAAATACGAATATAGTGCTTGTCAACTGATCGGCAACGGCATGTTTTGTTTGGGCTATTCCAATCATACTCCCATGTCGTATAATTTTGTTTATCAATTTAGTTAATTGAGGTCAACCCGTGTAAATGACGACATTAGATCAAACGATCGATTCATTCTATGAGGTAAGAATAAAAGCATTCTAGGAGAAAATGCACGAATGTTAAAGTGGTCCAAACATGGAAACATTAAACAGGTGTATACAAATTTGTTGAAAGTCAATTTTCTTATATAAAAGTAAGATTTATTGAATTTGTTCAGTCTCAAGTAAGTATTTATACAAAGGAAATTAAATATAGGTCAAAACGTATATTTGTGGTTTTCATACACACATAATTGTTGGAAGCGATACACAACCAACCACCTTCATAGGACAGTGTACAAAAAGATCATTGCTTTCTTTTTTGACAGATATACGCAACACAATTTGTGGTAAAATCCAAATAAATTCAAACCCCCATGAAATATTCTTAAATAAATCATACTAATCACGGTAGACATCTTGGTACATGTATATAAAATCCAAGTACTGAATCACGCATAATACAAACTTTCTACATGTCTTCTTCAGTATATTGCAGCTGCATCTTGCTTAACTTGGCATAGTCATTTGTTTGAACTTGCAATGAAAATTCACTAAATACAGGAAACCAAAAAAAATTGAAAATAGTTCACAAACATGAAAGGAAAAGTAGCAAAGAAAATTCGATAAACAAAGATAAAAATAAAACAAACGAGCGTATATTAAATTTTATTTTAGTATATAGCTAATCACATATTTCGCTGAATTTATCTATTTCTTGATACTTGAATTCAAATGTTCCTATTGAAGATGAATCTAGAAAAGTGCTTCGGATGCACGACATTTATATTAAGAGGTATTTGCATTTTGTTGATTTGACGCTATATTCAGAATAGATATCTTTCTTGGACAAAATTGTTTCCTATTTGTATCAGTTTAAATATATCAAAATTAAGTATGGAAAATCCAAAATTGACAATTCTGGTTAACTTGCTTGCGAAGGAAAATAACAAAACAAATGTGACACTTCTGAACACCTTTGAACATTCAGATATAGGGATTATCATTAATTGATTTGATTGCATATTTCAGTACAAATCAATCAAATTTTGGAAGAATGGAAGGTAAATGCTGGTAACTTTGTCGAGACCAAAGCTGCCAAACATGTGCTTGATTGTGTACAGGGAAACAATTGTGTTGCTATTACTGCTAGCTCTGGTGTTGGGAAGACAGCAACTCTACGACATGTGGCTTTAAAAATGGCAGCTGAAGGCTACGATATACAACTGGTAACCAGTCCACATGATATTGTTAAGTTTTACAATCCAGATCTGAAAACTTTATTTGTTGTTGACGATTTTTGTGGAATTTATTCTATAAACCAGTCGGACTTAAACAGTTGGGAAACCGTTATTGAGGTATTAAAGTGCTCATTCAAAATAAAGTAACGAAAATAATGGTCGCTTGTCGATTACAAGTGTATCAGGATGAACAGTTTGAATCTTTGTCTATTTTCAAGACATGCGTATGTAACTTGCAATCAGAAAATTTATGTTTATCAAAAACAGAGAAACAGTCAATAGCAGAAGTATACATGGAAACAGATGCTTCCGAAATTATTCAGTTCTGTGATTTATATGAATGTTTTCCGCTTCTCTGTAAATTGTATAATGATAATTCTGAACTAAATATGAAATAATTCTTCCAGAATCCATTTCCAGTTTATGAGGGAGAGATTGACAATTTGCATAAAAGAGGACATTTTAAGAAATATTGTTCCTTGGCTTTGTGTGTCATGTTTAACAATAGATTGGACGAGGAATTGTTGACCGAGGAGGTAAATATAGTAATAAGAACAATGATAGAAAACACATGTGAGGCCTGTAAACTGGACAGAGGAACATCTCGACTTATTCTTCTAGATGAATTGAAGTCACTTGAAAATACTTTCTTAAGGAAGGAACATAATGTATACAAAACAATACATGATAAATTATTGACTTTTTGGTTTACTATTTTGGTAAAAAAATTATCCAGTGTTTATTATTGAATGCAGACAGTTGGATTATTTCAGAAAGATTTTTATTAGAAAAAAAAGCTGGCATGGCTCAGTTTATCACTGTCGTACCATCTAAATACCAACCGTTGTACATAGGGAGAATGATTCATGACTGGTCTGAAGGAAAAGTAGCGATCGTGTTTCAAAATATTAATATGAAAGTACCAGAGTTCAGACAGAAATTCCTATGTCATTTAAAAAAACTTGATATTTCACTACAAAAACAATTGGCACTGACCTATGATGTAAATTACAAAGATAATACATTGTTAAAGAGTTGTCGCCTTCATGATATTCCTTTTATTCAGTGGTGTATCAATCATGGTGTCGATTGTAACCAGTGTAGTTGTGGAGGTGTGTGTCCATTGCATGTATCCGCACAAGGAGGTCATACAGAGGCTGTGAATGTATTACTGAAAACTAAGGCAGATATCAATACGTGTTCAGATGAAGGAATATTTCCTTTGTATTTAGCATGTCAAAATAATCATATAGAGACCGTAAAAGTTTTACTGGATAACAAGGCAGACATTAACAAGTGTATTGATGATGGAACATCTTCCTTGTATATTGCTTGTCACTATAATCATATAAAGGTAGCACAGGTATTGCTGAACAACAAGGCAGATATTGATAAGTGTAGAAATGATGGAACATCTTCTGTGTATTGTGCGTGTCACAATAATCATATAGAGATGGTAAAGGTATTAATTGATAACAACGTGGACATTAATAAGTTTGACAATAATGGATTATCTCCTTTGTGCATTGCCTGTTACAAAAATAATTTAGAGATTGTACAAAATTTATTGGATAACAAGGCAGACATTCATAAGTGTACGGATGATGGAGTATCTCCGTTGTTTATTGCTTGTCACAATAATCATATAGATACAGTAAAGATATTAATAGAAAACAAGGCTGACGTTAATAAATGTAAAGATAATGGAACACCTCGTTTGTTGATTGCTTGCAAGAATAATAATATAGAGATAGTAAAAGTATTACTGGAAAACAAGGCAGATATTAATAAGTGTACAAATGATGGAGTATCTCCTTTGTATATTGCTTGCCAGTATACTCATATAGAGATAGTAAAGGTATTAATTGACAACAACGCAGACATCTTTAAGTGTGAATGTTATGGAACATCTCCTTTAATTGTTGCTTGTAACAATAATCATTTGGAGATAGTTCAGTTATTGCTGAACAAAGAGGCAGACATTAATAAGTGTAGTGATGATGGTCAATCTCCCCTGTATACTGCTTGTAACAATAATCACACAGAGATTGTAAAGATACTTCTGGACAACAAGGCAGACATTAATAAGTGTACATACAATGGGGCATCTCCTTTGTTTATAGCTTGTTACAATAACCACATTGATACAGTAAAGGTTTTACTAGACAACAATGCAGACATTAATAAGTGTACATATGATGGAACATCTCCTTTGTTCATTGCTTGTGACAATAATCATGTAGAGACAGTTATTGTATTACTAGAAAACAAAGCAGACATTAATAGGTGTAAAGATAATGGAACATCTCCGTTGTATATAGCTTGTCACAATAACCATATCAATATGGTAAGGATATTACTAAGCTACAAGGCAGACATAAATAAATGTAAAGATAATGGTACAACTCCGTTGACTGTTGCTTGTGGTAATGAACATATAGAGATAGTTAAGATATTACTGGACAATCAGGCAGACATTCATGAGTATAAAGATTTTTCTTTCTTCAAGAATAATGATGGTAAGACTTAAAAAAAAAAGGAGCAGAAAAATTCATATGAATATGATGGTATGCCAACAGAATGGATTATTGTGAAATAGTTACTATGATTCATGCAATATCAACACAGGAGTGGCATTAAGATATAAACTAAATCAAACTGAGTAACAGTCATCAATGTTTTAGATGGTTTACTAGCAGTTGATATTTAGTTAAATGAAAGACATTGTAATTTATGTAATTGGGGATCATTTTTCTCATAAAAATAAAATGTCAGATCAGTGATATTTTATTTAAACAGAACTTGATAACCAACAGTAAAATTTAACCTTCAATATAACTAAACGTGACAGCCTTAAGGAAAGGTATGTGAAAGTTTGCTGACATGCTTATAAACCTTTTTGCGCAGTGATTCATCTTTATTGAACACAAACCAATTTTCTAGGATACTTGAGATAATCTAATTTCATAGAGTACCACTTTGGTTTACTTATTTGATTCTAAGTTTATTAACCTGTTGTCGGTCTTAAGTTGAGATTCTAGTTACTAAAAGATATTCGGGCATGACAAGATAGTCACGATTCTTAAAACAAGGAGTTCAAAAAGAGGAACGGAAATAAATGGCAAGCAAATTTCCATCTTTCACAATTTCAAAGAATCAAAGTTCTTCAAAAGTAGCGTTAAATGTTGCATCGACAGCATTAGCATTTCCTGCTATGCATACATCACCCACCATGATAATTCACACTCAGTAAGAATATCACAATCGGGGATAGGACATAAACTACGGGTCAGACGTCTATACTGGTATTCAATGATCTAAGATTTCGGAATCATTTCGCCTGTAAGTTGAGACATCGACACATCGTAATGGTCAAACAACTCGAGATGGTGACCGTAAAACATATGTGGTGTCAATTGCAGTAATTCTTCCCTGTTACTTTGTTGGAGCAGTTTTTACAGATGTTAAATTGGTTCAATATTCAACATTCAACATTCAGAATATTTTTTGTTAAAAGAATCTTGTTCTTTTCTTCTTTTTTTTTCAATGTTCATATTATGAAACATGCGATCCCAACATTCAATATTTAAATTGTCATTATTCAATATTCGCTTTTCAACATTCAAATTCAATTTCAACATTCAAAATTTAAATTCAACATTTTACTTTCAAATTAAACCAGAAAGAGTCGGCAATTCTTAATTCTTACAAAGATATTACAATTAAAGAAATTAGGTATTGTACAATACCATATTCTTTTTTTCACTGGGAAGACATTATCCTAGCAGGCAGCATCGAAAACCTTTAAAAAAAATACAAAAGATTTACGGAACACTGTTATGATTTTAGTATCAATTCATATTTTATATGTACTTAATTTGTACATTTTTGATAAAATGTATACTTCAATACTGCTTGTACTATCAACTACAAAACAAAATGTTGGCTTTTTTGTCTAATTTACTATCAACAACTAAAACTGTTTTGTTGGCGTCTTTGTTGGATTTTTCTTTTAATGTTTGTTTGAATTTCTTAATGGAGCATTTGCTACGAGATATAAAAAACATAAAATATGATTTTTTTGTTTTGTTCAATCATTAATGAAAGTAAAATAGTGAAATAATAATTCACTTTTAACAGCCAGTTTGGTTCAGTTTTGTCAAATTAAGCAAAAAAAGATCACTAATGAATTATTCACTTGCACGTGAATAAATCGACCTCATTGAATCCGTACTCATGGGAACTTTAATTGATCCCTATAGCTAGAGATGGGTTACGCATGAACTAGGCGTGTTCAGTTATTAAATGGAAAAGAATATAAACATTGAAAGTGAAATAAGGGTAAAAAATTTGGTTGACTGGTTCGATTTAGAAAAACTCATTCTTATACAGGTAAAAACGATTATTAGCATATTTTTAACCTATAATATGAAATCAAACAGACCTAGAAAAATCCAATTGCACGAGTTCGCAATCTATTAATATCTATGTTTATGTTTATATCGGGTTATATGACCATCGGCAGTCTTCGGTGGTCACCTCGATAGTTAATTAGATGGCGTCTAGACTAAATGATTCATGACTGGTCTGAAGGAAAAGTAGCGATTGTGTTTCAAAATATTAATATGAAGGTACAAGAGTTCAGACAGAAATTCCTATGTCATTTAAAAACACTTGATATTTCACTGCAGAATCAATTGGCACTTACCTATGATGTAAATTACAAAGATAATACATTGTTAAGGAGTCGTCACCTTCATGATATTCCTTTTATTCAGTGGTGTATCAATCATGGTGTCGATTGTAACCAGTGTAGTTGTGGAGGTGTGTGTCCATTGCATGAATCCGCACAAGGAGGTCATACAGATGCTGTGAAGGTATTACTAAAAACTAAGGCAGATATCAATACGTGTTCAGATGAAGGAATATTTCATTTGTATTTAGCATGTCAAAATAATCATATAGAGACCGTAAAGGTTTTACTGGATAACAAGGCAGACATTAACAAGTGTATTGATGATGGAACATCTTCCTTGTATATTGCTTGTCACAATAATCATATAAAGATAGCACATGTATTGCTAAACAACAAGGCAGATATTGATAAGTGTAGAAATGATGGAACATCTCCTTTGTATTGTGCGTGTCACAATAATCATATAGAGATGGTAAAGGTATTAATTGATAACAACGCGAACATTAATAAGTGGGACAATAATGGATTATCTCCTTTGTTTATTGTCTGTTACAAAAACAATTTAGAGATTGTACATAATTTATTGGATAACAAGGCAGACATTAATAAGTGTATGCATGATGGAAAATAAACGGAGTTTATTGCTAGTCACAATAATCATATAGGGACAGTAAAGATATTAATAGAAAACAAGGCTGACGTTAATAAATGTAAAGATGATGGAACACCTCGTTTGTTGATTGCTTGCAAGAATAATAATATAGAGATAGTAAAAGTATTACAGGAAAACAAGGCACATATCAATAAGTGTACAAATGATGGAGTATCTCCTTTGTATACTACTTGCCAGAATACTCATATAGAGATAGTAAAGGTTGTAATTGACAACAAGGCAGACATTTTTAAGTGTGACTGTCATGGAACATCTCCTTTAATTGTTGCTTGTCACAATAATCATTTGGAGATAGTTCAGTTATTGCTGAACAAAGAGGCAGACATTAATAAGTGTAGTGATGATGGTCAATCTCCACTATATACTCCTAGTAACAATAATCACACAGAGATTGTAAAGATACTTCTGGACAACAAGGCAGACATTAATAAGTGTACATACATTAATGCATCTCCTTTGTTTATAGCTTGTCACAATAATCACATTGCTACAGTAAAGGTTTTGCTAGACAACAATGCAGACATTAATAAGCGTACATATGAAGGAACAACTCCTTTGTTCATTGCTTGTGACAATAATTATTTAGAGACAGTTATTGTATTACTAGAAAACAAAGCAGACATTAATAGGTGTAAAGATAATGGAACATCTCCGTTGAATATAGCTTGTCACAAGACCCATATTAATATGTTAAAGATGTTACTAAACTATAAGGCAGACATAAATAAATGTAAAGATAACTCCGTTGATTGTTGCTTGTGGTAAGAAACATATAGAGATAGTAAAGATATTACTGGACAATCAGGCAGACATTCATGAGTGTAAAGATTTTTCTTTCTTCCAGAATAATGATGTATCGATCGTAAGACTTAAAAAATATGGAGCAAAAAAATTCATATGAATATGATAGTATGTCAACAGAATGGATTATTGTGAAATAGTTACTATGATTCATGAAATATCAACACAGGAGTGGCATTAAGATATAAACTAAATCAAACTGAGTAACAGTCATCAATGTTGTAGATGGTTTACTAGCAGTTGTTATTTAGTTGAATGAAAGACATTATAATTTATGTAATTGGGGATCATATTTCTCATAAAAATAAAATGTCAGATCAGTGATATTTTATTTAAACATAACTTGATAACCAACAGTAAAATTTAACCTTAAATATAACTAAACATGACAGCCTTAACGAAAGGGATGTGAAAGTATTGCTGCCGTGCTTACAAACCTTTTTGCGCAGTGATTCATCTTTATTGAACACAAACTAATTTTCTATTATACTTGAGATAATCTAATTTCATAGAGTACCACTTTGGTTTACTTATTTCATTTCATTCATTTTCTACTTACCACCTGAGAAATATACATACGGATATTACTTTCCTTACCAGTCCAGACTTCGCAATTAAAATAAAACATCTAGATGACAGAGATTGAAATAAACAATTAATTTCCCCATAGGCGACAATGATAGCCTTTTTCGAGATACAGACTTTAGAAAGTTGATTTTTTTAACGAAACCTTGCTAGAATTAAAGAAAAGTTATTAGGACAGTATTTTTTGGTCCAAAAAATATAGGTTCGCGTTGCTTTTGTTAGCGTAATTTGTACTTATCTCCCATGCCTATCAATTTTGCACTTAAAAATACGTGTCTCATCCTAGCGTTTAAAAGACATCTCTGTTCCGTTAGGGCTAAGGAAAATAATTTATTTGGCCTTTAGTATAATGCAGAAAGCACGAAGTCTCTAATAACAAAAAATAACGGGCGCACATATCAACCAATCAGGATTAGCTATACTCTTAATTCTGAATACCATGTTATGCTCATAAAATGGCTGCGCCCATAAAATCTAATGGTGTATTGTAACCTATACGGTATTTAATACTTTCTAGAATCATGCAATTCATAGTTCGTTAGATGCACTAATATATATGCCACACAAAAATCATCTTCAAAATGTTCTGGCATTACTCTCTGAATTTTCACAATTTTTTATCAGAGGTGACCCCAGTCAAAAAATGTGGAAAAAAATTTCTGATTTTTTGAGTAAATGCGGTCCTGCAGAAAAGGGTCTGAAGATAATGTCCACTTTCTCCAATGATTCTTTATATGTCATCAAGTACTGATTATATTGATACCAAAACCGATCCAATATGTAACTACTACGGTGAATTTTGAACAACAGTTTTAAATGAAACCATTTTCGTATAAAAGTACATTTTTGAAACAGACTATAGCATTTCAAAATATGAAAAATGTGTAAATATTTGTGTTTAAACATCGTAAACTATTCGTTAACTACAAAATGTCATGCCTATTCTAATTTTTATAGTCTGCCATTTGAGTGAACATTTCAATGTTCGAAGGGGATCATTTCTGTAAATTTTCACTGAATTTGGTAATTTCGATAACAGCACTTGGATCGAGATTGTCATGTTTAAAAATCGATTTGTATATTGAAACTCTAGACGTGTATGTGCTTTTTTCAAACAAATCAGCAGTTCATAAAATGACATATTCTCTCCACAGTAAGTCAAAAGTCGAACCCACCCTTGTTTCTAAGGTAAAACGCAATACAAATATGAAACAGACTATAGCTTAAAAACTAGATAATCAATAATTCATTTGCCACCAAAAAATACGGTTTCACATCAAATATCAAGTAAAATTACTGTTTTTGACACTTTTTGAGCACTATGATAAAGAAATGTCGACGCTGTATAGATTGAAATAAACAATTAATTTCCCCATAGGCGACAATGATAGCCTTTTTCGAGATACAGACTTTAGAAAGTTGATTTTTTTAACGAAACCTTGCTAGAATTAAAGAAAAGTTATTAGGACAGTATTTTTTGGTCCAAAAAATATAGGTTCGCGTTGCTTTTGTTAGCGTAATTTGTACTTATCTCCCATGCCTATCAATTTTGCACTTAAAAATACGTGTCTCATCCTAGCGTTTAAAAGACATCTCTGTTCCGTTAGGGCTAAGGAAAATAATTTATTTGGCCTTTAGTATAATGCAGAAAGCACGAAGTCTCTAATAACAAAAAATAACGGGCGCACATATCAACCAATCAGGATTAGCTATACTCTTAATTCTGAATACCATGTTATGCTCATAAAATGGCTGCGCCCATAAAATCTAATGGTGTATTGTAACCTATACGGTATTTAATACTTTCTAGAATCATGCAATTCATAGTTCGTTAGATGCACTAATATATATGCCACACAAAAATCGTCTTCAAAATGTTCTGGCATTACTCTCTGAATTTTCACAATATTTTATCAGAGGTGACCCCAGTCAAAAAATGTGGAAAAAAATTTCTGATTTTTTGAGTAAATGCGGTCCTGCAGAAAAGGGTCTGAAGATAATGTCCACTTTCTCCAATGATTCTTTATATGTCATCAAGTACTGATTATATTGATACCAAAACCGATCCAATATGTAACTACTACGGTGAATTTTGAACAACAGTTTTAAATGAAACCATTTTCGTATAAAAGTACATTTTTGAAACAGACTATAGCATTTCAAAATATGAAAAATGTGTAAATATTTGTGTTTAAACATCGTAAACTATTCGTTAACTACAAAATGTCATGCCTATTCTAATTTTTATAGTCTGCCATTTGAGTGAACATTTCAATGTTCGAAGGGGATCATTTCTGTAAATTTTCACTGAATTTGGTAATTTCGATAACAGCACTTGGATCGAGATTGTCATGTTTAAAAATCGATTTGTATATTGAAACTCTAGACGTGTATGTGCTTTTTTCAAACAAATCAGCAGTTCATAAAATGACATATTCTCTCCACAGTAAGTCAAAAGTCGAACCCACCCTTGTTTCTAAGGTAAAACGCAATACAAATATGAAACAGACTATAGCTTAAAAACTAGATAATCAATAATTCATTTGCCACCAAAAAATACGGTTTCACATCAAATATCAAGTAAAATTACTGTTTTTGACACTTTTTGAGCACTATGATAAAGAAATGTCGACGCTGTATAGATTGAAATAAACAATTAATTTCCCCATAGGCGACAATGATAGCCTTTTTCGAGATACAGACTTTAGAAAGTTGATTTTTTTAACGAAACCTTGCTAGAATTAAAGAAAAGTTATTAGGACAGTATTTTTGGTCCAAAAAATATAGGTTCGCGTTGCTTTTGTTAGCGTAATTTGTACTTATCCCCCATGCCTATCAATTTTGCACTTAAAAATACGTGTCTCATCCTAGCGTTTAAAAGACATCTCGATTCCGTTAGGGCTAAGGAAAATAATTTATTTGGCCTTTGGTATAATGCAGAATGCACGAAGTCTCTAATAACAAAAAATAACGGGCGCACATATCAACCAATCAGGATTAGCTATACTCTTAATTCTGAATACCATGTTATGCTCATAAAATGGCTGCGCCCATAAAATCTAATGGTGTATTGTAACCCAGAGATACTTCCAACCGGAACTACGTCACCTACATGCTTTACTTTACCTGTACCCCAGTTATATTTTTTGCGCCGAAGAGTTCAGACGTTAAAAAAATATATTCAAAGTTAATTAATTTTCTAAAAAATTACGATAATGAGAAGTAAAGGCTCGGATGCTTATGTTGAGGAAGACACTTCTTCTGTCTTAGAAAGCGTACTTCTTCTCGTAGTAAAAAGACAATTTGTCAGACTTAGAAAGTCGTATGATGGCAAGAATTGAAGAACAGGACAAACAATTGGATTTTATGAGTACTAAAATGGGTAAATAGGTTGATTTACTACAAGGCAATTTAACTGACACCGGAAATGAAGTTCCAAGGTCAGAACATGAAAATCAAAATACGGTCACAGTCGAGGCATCTAGTGCTGCTCGAAGACCACTTATACCGTTGAACAGTGCTATTAATGAGCATCAAATACTTCAGTGTACCGACAATGGACAATACAGTAGAAAGTTTACTGATGAAAAGATATGGTCTATGAGCTAATTTTGGCAGAGTCCCAAGTTTATTTACTAAAAACTTGAAGTCTCTTGAAAGGTTAGCTTATCAGGGTCAAGTTGCGGCCCGCATGGGTTTGATCACAAGTTGTTATTCGCAACAAGCAAGTGGATATTTGTTGGATAATTTACAATCTGATACGCCAAATTTAGACAGTGCAATACAGAATGTAAGAGACATATTTGCTTTGTCGACTTAAATTTTAGATCAGACGGCGAGAACTGGAGCTTTTCACCACATGATACGTCGACGTGTTACTATATATGATACAGGTCTTAATGAACTAAGAGACTATGCCAACACAATTGTGACTTTACCATTAACAGCAGATGGTATATTTGGTTCTCGGTTTGATGCTTAAATGAAAGAGAAAACTGATAAAAATAAACAATTAGCTGAAGTTTTACCTGATACTTAACGAATTACACTTGGTTCACAGTTGGGTTAAAGAAAACCAACAGCTACAATTACTTCAGAGTCTACATTTGTGAAAAAGCCTAAATTTGACAGTAATTTCAAGATACCAAAGAAGAACTTTGGGGAGTTCAAGTCGTCTGGTAAACAGACACCTGCTAACAAACCATGGGTAAGTTCTTTCTCTAATGTGAAGAAAAAGTATAGTTCCTGACGCCAAAACTCTAATGTTGTTTCCTCAGATACCAGTGGGAGGGAGGTTAAAACATTTTATTCAGGAATGGGAATCAATAACAGACGATCAATGGGTACTGAAAACTTTACAAGAGGGTTTGAAATTAGAA